TTACTTGAGTTGGGAGTCATCACAACAATGTGATCTCAGAAAATAGCATACAGTGATTACGCATGGCATATAAAAATGTTTCCGTTTTACTATCTGTGTTAACCTTAGTCCATTCTGCCATAACTATGTGAGTGTGTCTAGCATTTAAAGTGGAATTGTCGATAAGGTATTGTTATATTTTCACTTTACATTCGACTATGCTACATCATTCGTTGTAAGTATGTTTTGAGACTACAGGAAAATGTTTAATAGAAACTACCCGGCGCCGATTTCCTGAATGAGAATATCATTTGGGAGGCAAGACTGATTGAGATCCAATGCTGCCGCGAGGGTTGCTCACATGATTGTGAGCAAGTTCAAGATAAAATATGAGATGTATTCACCCTATTTCGTCTAAGGTGATGAAAAACTGGTGGTAGAATTTGGGAGCTTGATACGCTAACCAATCGGCTACACTGCCACGAGTACCCGAGTCACAGGGCATAAGTGAATTTCAAGGAAGGTCAGGTCTCTTTGCTATATCATATTCTTTGGTGGGAGTGCCGATGAAGCAAACGTATATTTGCTACAGCAATCGACTAGATTATTTTTTTTTCGTATTAGAGTGTGTCGAGACTACCAGTAAATCAGTAACATGAGATGTATTCACCTTATTTCGTGTAAGGTGATAAAGGACTGGTAGTAGAATTTTCCCACAATGATATGAGTTGAGCTGACGTTTCCATTCAATTTCACATAGTCTTGCTTTCCCAAAAGTTGTTCACATCCAGCTTAGCGTGTCAAGCTCCCATCCTGCACTTTTGGGAAAGCAAGGCTATGTGAAATTGAATGGAAACGTCAGCTCAACTCATATCATTTTGTGAAAATTCTACTATCAGTCCTTCATCACCTTAGACGAAATAGGGTGAATACATCTCATTACACTGATTTATTGGTACTCTCGAAACTCTACTCTAATACCAAAATAAGATCCTACTTAAAACTATGAAATGGGGCATATTGCGACATGACTTTCCATTTCGAGGCAACTACTGGTTGGAAGGAATTCGTGGTGTGGCCTCACCGGAAACCGGAGCAGGATTGCCACGTGGGGAGGACAGCTGAATTGGACTCCGATGTAATTCAACAGTCTTCGCTGACTGGCAATCCTGCCTCGGTTTCCGGTGCGACGACATCACGAATTGCTTCCAACCAATTTCTCCCTCGAAACCCAATTTATCTTCATGTGAATTGGGGCTTGTCTAAACGGGCGACCGGAAGATGGACAGATGAGAAGATGTCGCCAGAATCGGAGAGGCGTGACGGCCGGTAGTGCCGATGACGAGGGAGCAGGATAGACGATCGGTGCGGAGGCGTGAAGCTGGGTCCCAGGGGGTTGCCGCATCAAACGAGCATGCACCTTGACCTCGTGTAAGGACGCCGGAGTGGTGACGCGGGCACTCAAAGTGAGAACGCTCTGCGGCTTAGCAGTCCTGCCACGCCTCAGTGCACCCTCCTTCGAGAGGCGAATGTTCTCGAGGTCGACCCGAGAGACCGGGCTTCGCAACCCCACTCCTGAGCGCCGTCTGATGTGACAGGCCAACTGTGAGTTGCGTCCGAAATAGGCCAATCAGGCGTGAAACCAACGGGGACGTGGCATGGATTGTCGCTCCCCGGCCTGACCTCGGCCTACGGGCCGGCATTGGCTGGTCGCCGGGGCGACGGGAAAACAGGGTCGTCCGAGGGTTGCGAGGCCAGCCCAACAACAGCCGATCCCCGAGGCCAAGCAATACACCAGCCCGTCTCGCTCTCATTCACTCGCCGTCGTTGCTACGACAAATATTTCCTTTCCGCCTGGTCAGAAAGTACCTGATGCTGTGCTTCGTCTCGGCGAGCAAGCAACATGCCGAACTGGGTCAGGGCGCAGGTGCAAGAACACGTGCACCTCCGATCAAGTGCACACGAGTTGTGTGCTGCGGCGCCAATCCTCTCGACGGGTCGCCACCCCATCGCTACACCCCTTCCCCCCACCCCCACCCCCCAGCCGGGATACATCTCTCCAAACGTCCTTTGCCTCCCGTATCACCTTCGGCCTGTACTATAAGTTCAAGGTCGTCTGGCGCAGCGATGCGGCACACAATGTGTGTGTGTGTGTGTGTATGCGAGTAGAGCGAGGGTGTGTTTGCACACGTGTCTCCGAGTCTGCAAGGTCGGCTCCGCGACTGGCGGCGTGTGCAGGTTGTGCCGTGCGTTGATTCATCAGTCTCGTGGCGCGAGAGACAATTGTGCGTTTGTGCGCCCTGGTGACCAGCAGCACGGGGCACCGGACCGGCGTTGCTCGGGCGTTCGGACGGCAGTCGATTCCGGCCAGCGCCGACGCTCGAGCCCGCCGTCCGGCGCATCTGCCTGGCTCCGGGCGAGCCGGTTAGGGTTGAACGACGAGACTGCCGCTCCGGTACCGGGTGTTGGTATGTTGAGACCGGCCATTCGCCTTACGCAGGGCCATTATCGGCACAAGCTCAGCCAGTTGCTATGCCAGAATGCGCACTGATTTATTCGGTCGCTCGCCAGGATACGATCGAGCGCCAAGCCGATAGGCTGATCGTGTCGCGAGGTGGATTGACGACCGATTTGGTGCTCTTTAGCCCAGACTGGACAGTCCCGCGGCCTACCATCTATCTGAGAAGATGTCAGCGTCCTCGACAGGACATCGTTTCGATTTTTGTTACTCGACGCGTTGCTGGCCAGTTTGGGTAAAAGAGTACAAGTACAATTGGGCCTACCTACCTTTTGCGTGAAAGTGAAAAGGTTCGCGAAAGTAGGTCTCATCACAAGACAACTGCGGATGCCCGAACTCGCCGATTGTATGATCCGCCCTAGGCCTGAATCCTCAATCCTCAATCCTGAATCATGAATCC